ATACATAAATGTAATTCATTCTTAAAACACGTACGTATGCGTATATATATATATATATATATATATAATGTATGTAAGGTTGTTAAGAAAAATTTGATATTAAATTTTTACCTTGGATATGTGACTAAAAATTTTTATATATATATATATATATATATATATATATATATATATAATATATGTTTATCAGCGTAATTATATGTATACATACATTGCGTACATACTTATGCCATTAATAATTAATCGTATTCATATATGTGTATAGTGTCGTCAGTATACACATATATCAATATGCCATCGGCTTGGCTTCTCTACCATAATGTTTTCATTATACGTTCTTTTCTTTTAATGCATTCGCAAGATTGAAGTAAATTGTCGTAAAGTATAAGTATACTCAAGTAATCGTAGTAAACTTTTGAATAAATTTGAGTCATTGAACGGAAATGGTGGATCTCAAAATATGCTTGAGGACATATTTATTTAATCGGGATTATCGTCGCGCGGTACCCCGCGAATCGTTAACCGTTGACCTCTGACCGAGAGAACCCAGTGTATTAACGAATGAGAAAAAAAAAAAGAAAGCGTGAATTCCTCATTGACGGTCTTTCCCCCCCTTTCTTTTGAAAATCTTTTTTTCTGTCACCTTTTTTTTATTACAATTCATTTTTATTGCAATTTTACGGTTAAAAAATGACCGGGAAGAATGTTTTTTTTTACACGGATTTTTTTTTTTTTTTTCTTTATTCATATACAGATACTCAGGGTGCATCATTCGAAATATAATTCAACGAATTCCTTGCGACGCCATGAAATTCCGGCTGTCCCAAGGAATTGACGGTCTGATGATTATTTTGGATTGTAGGGACCACGTGTCCGGTGGCCCTTAGACGCGTAGGAGAACACGTCGATATTGAAATCTGTGCTTTCTGTTTACGCTTGGAATGTCACATGCGACCCGATGACGATAAGCGTCAATGACTCTAATGCGCGGCCAATCGTTAAATGCTAATTTGCGGAATCGCCTTTCACGCGAATCACATGTCGCTACTGAGTTCGTATGAAATTATTATTTCTTATTCTTCTCTCCTTGGTCCTTTGTATTTATTTGTCATCGTATGTCGTTCGGTCCTCCTGCGTCAGTTTGCTCCGAACCCGGTATATGCCTGTCGGTACTATCCGATCGCGTTCCTTTGTTATCCTTGCGTCGCCGCGACACTTGACGATCGCTCGATATGAGAACTCGCCTTCGTGTTAATCGGGCCGTGTGTACTGAAGCAGAAGAGATACGATAGACGCTATACGCTCTTGCGAGAGGCAAATTTGTGGAAACGTTTAAGCACATTTGGAGAGCCACCAGAATGTGGTAACGTAATGCCATGAAGCATGAGAAAATGAACGATCCATAATGAACGTGGAAGATCGTGTCGTGATTTATATTTTATTAATTGAATTTGTTTTTTTTTTTAATCCTTTTCCAAAATTCAAGGACACGATCCTACTTCGTGTATATATATATATATGTATATATATATAATATATATATATATATGCTTTTCGAAGATACCCACGTGTGTATTCCATTATCGGATAGTTCGTTCGGACACTAATTACATCTAGCTTTATAATTAATCAATAGATTGACTAAGCTTCGGTATCTGATATTAAGCTTTTATAACGTCGGACTAGCTTCTACTTTTTGTCTTTGTAACGTGATTCTTTGCCGAGAAGAAAAATCATTATTGACCTCTCGTGTAAGACAGTATTTAAAGGTTCTCTGTGAAAATCAACAATTAGGATTACGTCCTTTGCGCGTAGCAAAACTTCTATCCTGGCCATCGAGTCGTTATGGAAATAAGAGTATTGTATGGTTTTTCTTTTTTTAAATAATTTTTTCTTTTACTTTGATCCAATAGCAATTCTCATGAGTTTTACGCGTGACTTCGCTGTATACGGTTTGTGATTTTCCATTGAAAGTCGTGGCGAGGATAGATATCTTTATGAATTTCTTATTTTTTTTTTATTCTGTTCCCATTCTTGTACCACCTGATCAGCCACCCCT